GTTTAAATCAAATAAGCAAAAGAGGATTGAGTTAAAATAAATAAAAGGTATTTAAGCTATGTTTTGAACACCCAAAACACGTCCAACACTTTAAAGCTGGCTGCTTGTGCTCTTTAGGTCAGACACGTTCAGACCGTCGGGAAGCCCCTCTGTTGTTTTCCTCTGCCGGTCTCTGTTTAATGGTGGATGAAATAAAGAAAGTGGCAGTATTTTATTTACTTTGAGCAAGCGAACATCGTGTTCATAAGATAATTAATCCACCAGATAATTCAGAGGTGGTCTGTTCTGTGAGTTTTACTCCAGGAGCTGCGAGGCTTTCATACTACGTTCAGACCGAGCTCTGCTGCCTCTATTTACTGAACCAGTGGCTGCTGATGTCATTATGATTTTGCGTGATGCTGCGTTCAGGACAAGCATGGAAAACTCACCAGTCTTACGCTAAACCRGTCGCAATGATGCGTATAGGTACAGAAACATGGTACCGTTTGATGTTAAGTGAATAGATACTCGGTAGAACCGACAGAATTCGGTCTGTGCATAAAAAAGTATCGAATTCGGTACCCATCCCTAATTTAAAGAAGAAGCCAGCAGATTGTGCTGACAATCAAAAGCAGGTCGTTTTTGAAGTGATAGAAATTTATAATCCAGTATTTTATAGTAATTATGCTATTTTGTTTGTATTCTTTTCCTGGGATCAGCCTTGGCAGATGTACCGAGGACAATAAYTGCCAATGTGAGTGGAACGACCATCCTGCCCTGCAACATCACAGTGGTTGGCGACCTTCCTACGGTGGAGTGGTCCAAGATGGGCATATCGCCAAACATCACCATCTTGTACCGGAACGGCTGTGAGACTTTCGAAGAGAAGAATCCAGAATTCCACCACAGGACAAACCTGGTCCTGAACAAACTGAAAGACGGCAATCTGTCTCAGATTATTCACAACCTGCGTCTGTCTGATGCTGGTATATACCAGTGCAGGACTCGGAGAGGGAATCAGTGGAAGGTTGAATCAACCGTGGACCTTGTAGGTACGGCTCGTCAAAATCTGTGGCTGTGTGGTAGTTTACAAAAAATCATATGTTCACTTTGAAGTGGTACCCAAGCGTGACACTTTGGTTTAATTTCACAGTGTTATGTAACTCCAAGCTTTAAAAAAATACGTCAGAGCATTTCAGACACTTTTGTGGTGAAATTAGATTGTTTGATTYTTGAAGATGTTGTTTTACATTGACTTGATTTCCTTGTTTGGAGTTAMATGAGATGACTGGTGCTGTTTCTATACAGGACAAGGCAGACGTAGAGCTTGGACCACTAAGATCAGGTTGGGTATCAAAGCTTAGGTTTCTATTAAACAAATTTTATTTTATAAACTTTAGTGTTTCCCCTAACCAGTGGTGGGCAGCGCTAATTCAAAAGTTTGTTCCACAAATTTTAAACCGCTAATTATTTTTCTTTAGTTCCGCATGTTCTAAAGCACACATATTATAAATATTTTAGCGTAAGCTAAATAGATACCCAACATTGGCTCAGTTCACCAGAATATATATAGGTTTCCGAAATAACATGAACCATTGTTGCATAACGCTTCCATCTTGTGGCAAAACGGGTTGCTCTCAACCCAACTTACATCTTGTCACGGTTTCAGGAAGTCATTTATGCAAAGAGACATTTGATTCATGGTGTTAATTAAAAAAAAACTTGTTGTGGACTGCACGTTTTGCTGCTTCTTGGTCATTTATTTTTCTTATGTTTGTGGCTTTGGTAAGAAAGCATATATTACGGTTTCTTGCAGAGCTGAAGCGATGCATTCTGGGTAAAGGACCAAGTGGAACCAGTCATTTCACAATAAGAGCCTGAATTTAAACTGTGCCGTGTGTTGCTTGCTTCAATACGACGTGACGTGAGACAGCGGGTTGATGGATGAAGATTCAGCATGTCATAAATTATTATAATGCCTCCCTCTACCCTCTCAAAGCTAAAATAAGTATATAAACAACAATAATTATGGGTGGATTGTTGGGGAAACTTTTATTTTTTTTAACGGTGGTTCTAGAAAAAGATGCGAAAATCATTTGAATAGGAATAAACCAGCTGTAGCTCTTTTAATAACTGGACTTAGACAAAAAATGATTTAAAATAAATAAATAACATGAATTAGCTGCTGGTGCCTTTTCTCAAGCGTGTCCCTCNGGGGGATGGGGCCTCAGATGACGGGCGGTGTAGAATCATGATTGACAGCTCAACACAGGCTGGACAAGGTGTTGCATTCAGGAACCACCAGTTATGAGTGGAATGTTTTCAGTCCAATAAATGTCTCTTATTAGAGGTTATCAGTTCTAAAATGTCTGCAGACTGTCCTTCCTTTACCTCCTGTTAGGTTGGAAGGCACTTATCATCTGTATGYCTGATAATATGCATTCAGGCTTAAGTGGGTTTGGCTTCTCCCCCTGGACGTGGAGTCCAGGCGGTCTGCCAGACTTGCTTTGACCGGGGGAGGCACTCTATCTGCGGCATGGAGATCTAAGCTGTAGCCGGGGCTCGCTCCAGGCTTTGCTGCTAACAGACAGACAGCAGAGTTTTCAGGGTCTGCTCAGATGACTTTCAAACTTTATTCAGCTGTTCTCTGCTGCGATTAACATTTCCTGAAACTATTGTGTGTTTTTATTTCTGTTTGACATGTGAGAGGGGAATATTTTATTTAATCTTAGACAACCAAAATCCAACTATTTAACCAGCCATGCAGTTTGGTTCAAATTTCTGTCAGCTGTAGCTTCCTGAAGGTTCGTCGAACTCCGAGGTGGATTTATTTTATTTATCTTCATATTTTAAAGACAAAGGGGCCCTGCAACGGGGATTAGGGTACTCCACCAATCCTGTCTCCACTTCTGTTGTCCAGGAGGAGTGAGAGTGACATCCAGGAATCGCTGGAGCTCCGCACGGCCAGCTATCAACCAGTCCCCGCCTACAGGGCTTGATCTGTGGCCAAGTTTGGCCAAAATGTCCCCTGTTGCTTCTTGGGCTTATATCTCAAAAATTACTGAACAGATTGCTATGAAACATTCAGGGAATGTTTATTACACTTCCACGAAATGTTCAATACACCACAGAGAACTGATGATTAAAGTTAAAATCATTTCAGAGTGCGTGCACCGCTCTGATCTGATCCAAGAACCGCTGGAGAAACTCCGAGCTGCTGCTCTGAAGCGGTTCTTAGGAGCTGCGCATGCGGTCGGGCTCTGAAATGTTTTAAAATTATTAATCTTCTGTTCTCTGTTGTGTGTTGAACATTTCCTGGAAGTGCAATAAACATTCCCTGAACGTTTCATAGAAATCTGTTTTGTAATTTTTGAGATATTAGCCCACGAAAAAACGGGCATTTTGGCCAGAGTTGGGCTGCAGATCAAGCCCTGTAGGCGGGGACAACATCAGAGCAGCCACTCGGAGTTCTTCTCCAGCGGTGATCAGATAGGAACCGCGCAGGCACTCGTGCTCTGAAATGATTTTAACTTTAAAAATTTTAACTTGATTTTAACTGAAAAATCTCCTTTTTTCAGTTTCAATTTTTTTTATTTTGAACAAAACATATGACCCCAATTTAGCTCCATAAGAAAGAGGAACTTTCTGTCAGATGCTGAGCAGCAGAAAGTATTAACTGGATGATTTCCACGTCTATCAGTTTTTATACGATGCTGTGCAAAAATCTTGAGCCACATAACAGTGAGTCACAGCCTGACTCAGTTGCTTTTTGGTTTGAATGCGTCATGGTTCAGTGTAAAACAGTTTGTCAAATAAACACTCATCTAAGCATGGTCGAGGTCAACAACCGAACCCATGAAAGACCAAGTTTTCATTGGAGGAATACATATCACTCGCAACCTTTCATGCCAGAGCTTTAGACTAAGGTCTGTTGAGAAACAACAGAGTTGTATCTGTTTTTGTTAACCTGCTCAGTCTGACATGATATCGTTACATCACACATGATCTGTTAATGCTTAGACCAGGGGTGGGCAATCCTGGTCCTCGAGGGCCGCTGCCCAGCAGGTTTTATGATTTTCCCTGCTCCAACACACCTGATTCAGACATTGAATTACCAAGTTCTGCACTATGGAGGCTGACACTGACATAACTAGAAAAAAAGTAGAAATATATAAATGGACCAATAAATAAATTTAATTAAAAATGTGCCAATTAAATTTAAAAAGTAGAGCTTAACCTCACGTTTTATAATTTAAGTGACCATATTTATTTTTCCAACCGCTAAAATAAGTATTGAACACGTCACCATTTTTCTCAGTAAATATATTACTAGAGGTGCTAATG